TCCAAGGCTGGACTCAAGAGTGATGGATTCAGGATTTGCTTTCAGGTATTTCGATAGCTGGTGGAGTGGTTAGAATCAGTGTCAGTTCCCTCTCAAAGGCTTCCAGGTTGGGGAGAAAACAAACTTATATATCATTTTAGAACAATAGCTGGCTGTCTCCCTTAGTTATAGGTGGGCACTACAGCATTGAAGACCAAGATCTGAGGTCTTACATCTGAGCAGCACTTTCTAGTTAGGAAGAAAATCATCAATGAAAAATAATTGTCTAAACAACATTTATATAGACTTAAGCCTAATGTCCGGGAAGTATAATCCCTTGAACTCTTAAAGAAATATACTGATGACTTTACTCTTTGGTTATACTTTCCTTTTGGGTGTTTAAGACCATACAGTTGACCCAAATAAATCAATTAATTTTTATACTTAAAGTCATCTGAGGATCTGTTCCTCAGGAGTCACATGAGCTTGGGAGGAGCTCTTGGCTCCTTTCTTTTACTAGTTCCGTCTATGTGAAGATAAGTCAAAGGTCCTTCTCGACCATGTCTGGCTTCACTTGGAAGCATGAATGAGAAGTTGACCCAAGGAGGGAGATTTGTAGAGACCTGTTAGCTTCTGAGCCCCCTCATAATGAGGAGCTTGAGGCTAGTTTCTCCCCTGCCCCTCCTCTCTACTCCCCTTTGTTCTTTTGAGACAATCTTTACCCTGTAACCCAGGCTGGCCTAGAACCTACTATATAGCCCAGGCTGGCCTTAAACTCATGATCCTCTTGCCTCTGTCTCCTAAATTCTGTGATTACAGGCACATGCCACCACACCCTCACTTAGGTAGTCTTCTGTGACATCAAAAAAAGAAACTGAAGATACAATGATATTAGATTTTCAACTTGCAGCATGCTTTACAGATTTACATTGATTAACATTAAATTTTTTTCCCTGCATGTATTTAAGTGCAACTGTGTGTGCAATGCTCATGAAGGCCAGAAGAGGGCACCAGATCCCTTGGAACTGGAGTTACAGATGGTCGTCAGCTGCTTCATGAATTCTGGGAACTGAGCCCAGGTCCACTGCAAGAGCAGCCAGTGTTTTTAACCACTGAGCCATCTTTCCAGCCCCTAAATTAACATTTCAATACAAATGAAAATAGAGAAATGAGGGCTGGGTTACAGTCTAGCATGTGTGAGTTGCCCAAAGATCAATCCCAGTATTGGGGAGAAAAAAAAAAAAGGGTGAAATAGATTATTCATGAATCTGAGCTAGATGGTTATCTGTGTCCTTGACATTGCATCAGAGGCTGAGAGAACTCATTCAGGAACTGTGAAGGGCTCCATACCTGTCCCTAAACTGAGGGTGAGAGCGAGTCCCACTGACTAGGAAAGATGGACTGAAAACCAGTGTCACCCATCTAAACGAAGAGGAAGGACCAGAGTCCAGATGACCTATTTTCACCTGTTGAAGGAGGCTGGAGAAGTAATGTGTGGTCAGCCTCACTGGCACAATGTGCGTTAGTGGTGTTGGAAGTGCTTGGATGGTGGTCCCAGCACCAGTTAGCTCTGACAGGAGGCTCTGGGGAGAGAAAGGTGACAAGGAAAAGGTGTAATTCAGACTCAGGTGCCAAAGCATACAGTATGGCGAGTTCTGAAGTCCTGGTGGCTAGGGCTGAGCCCATGATGGGGTCACTGCCAGACTTGTGTCCTTGCTTTCCTTCTCTGAAATGTGGAGAATGAAGATCAAGGTTGAAGTTCTGTGCTGCTGCATGATTATAGTCAGGTCCCTTCCTCCCTGAAACCTCTGCACCTGTGAAATGCAAGTACCCACTGCCTTACTCAGAGGGTTATGAAAGAGATGAAGATATGATAGCTCTCCTTCCCATCACAATCTACTAAGCATCTACTCTGTGCCACACTTGTAGCATTTAAAAAACAAAACAACAATAAACCTCTTCTGTCTTCCAAAGAGGAGGCCAAAGTTTATGAGCTAGATAGTGTATCAGTCTCTTTTCTGCTACTGTAACAAAATACCAGAACCTGGATAGAGGTGTTTATTTAGCTCACATTCCTGGAAGGTTGAGGGCACTGGACTGGCATCAGCTCAGCTCTGGTGGACTGTATCATAGTGGGAGGATGAAGGAGGAAGAAGCACAAGACTAGAAGAAAGTCACAGAGAGGGGAGGCCAAGCTTACCCCTTTTATACTAACCCTCTTGTGAGAAGCAGCTCAGAAGGCTCACAAGAGCTACCTTTGGGGGATGTGTATGTTTGTGGTGTGTATGTGTGTGGATGTGCAGGCACACATACATATGTGTGCACGCTTATGTGGAGGCTGAAAGTTGATGTCGGGTGTCTTCCTTAATCGCTCTCCACCTTATTTTTTGAGACAGGATCTCTCACTGAACCTGGAGCTCACTGATTGCACTAGCCTGGCTGACTAGTGAGCTCCAGTGATCCTCCTGTCTCTGCCTCCCCAGTGCTGGGATTACCAGCATGCACTGCTGTGCCCAGCTTTTTACGTGTGTGCTGGGATCTGAACTCAGGTTCTCACACTTGCTCAGAAAGCATTTTACTGACTGAGCCATCTTCTCTGCTCAACATTAATGCCCTCTTGCATCCCCAATGACCTAAGGACCTCCCACTAGACTCCACCTCTTAAAGGGTCCACTAACTCCCAGCAGTGACACACCAAGAACCAAATCCCAGCACAAGAACTGAAACCACATCCAAAGCACAGTAGAGGCCCACTGTATAACAGGTAGAGACAGAGTAGAGAAGCTGGGGTGGCTAGTGGATTGTCACTGAAGAAATCAGAGAGTTGCTCAAGAGATGAAAGAATTAATAGAAGTTGCAGAAAGAGGGGGAAGGAGAGATAAAAGTGTTTTTGGCTGTAAAAAACACTTGATGCTCTTCCAGAGGAGGCCGGTTCAGTTTCCAGCACCCGCATCAGGTGGTTCACAACCACTTGTAACTCTAACTCCAAGGATCCAGTGCTCTCTTCTGGCTTCTGCAGGAACTGTTACATGCACATACAATTTTAAATGAAAATAAAATCTTTTTAAAAATATGTAGACAGAGAAATTCAGAGCCAGAAATCCATGGTGGGCTTCTTGGGTCCAAAATGAGCAGTGACTGAACTCCGAGCAGTTGAGACAGAGGCGGGGAAAGAAGGGATTTAACAAATATTGGAAAGGCCAGGGTGGAATATGTGTCCAGTGTGCACAAAGTTCTAAGTGAGCCTCAGCACCAAGAAAAAGACAGATGTTAAGGAAAAGCATTCCCTGTGTCAAGCAACAAGGGACTTCCCTGCAGATGTGAGTCACTGTTGTCCCATTTTGTGGCAGTTGAGATGGAAGACTCTACTTAAGAATGGCTAACTAGGTGTCTCAGCTACGTTTGGGCTCCAGTGACAGAAGGGGATCTGCCCTCACCATTTCCTGTATGGTCAGGCTCAGTGCTGAGCTGTTTATTCTTTTCTCTTCCTCCCTCCCTGCCTCCCTGCCTCCCTCCCTCCCTTCCTTCCTTTCCTCTCTCTCTCTCTCTCTCTCTCTCTCTCTCTCTCTTTCACCAGTAAACAAAAATTACTGCTTATCACTTTTTGGGCAACACACCGTTATTCAAAATTAACACTGGAAAGGCAGAGGGGTGGGGCCTCCCAATGGGCCTTGGGTGGAGGGTGTTTGTCCTTACTGTACAAATGAATTTAAGTCTTTTAATCTTTAGTTTGATTTAACCATGGCGTTTAGTAAGATGACAACAGCAGCTCGCATGCAAGTCTCTGAAGAGGTGCGGACAACGGCACACACCTACGGCTCTCTGGCGCTGGAGGCTCCAGGGCAGCCATATTGCCTCATCAAACACATTCTTTGGGCCTTTCTGTGGGAAGACAGAACAGGCCACATACTTGACAGCACTCAAACTGGGGCAGCAGCACCCACAGCTTGTTCTGTTTGTTCTGGGCATGTGCCTCCACAATAGAGGGGTCATCTCTGAGCTCAATTTAGGCCCCAACAAGGAAAAAGGAGTCTTTGGACAGTAGTGAGTTATCTCAGGCACTCATCTGGGGGTTGAACTCAGGTCAAGGCTTGCTGGCAAGCACCTTTACCTGCTGAGCCATCTAACTGACCCTCTGTTTACTTAGTGTGTGTGTGTGTGTGTGTGGCATAGCACATGTGTGGAGATCAGAGGTACCATGTGAGATTTGGGGATGCAACTCAAGTCATCAGCCTTATCGGCAAGCATCCGTATTGAGCCATCTCACTGGCCCTTCTCACTCTAATCTTCTTTTTTAAATATTTTATTTATTATTTTTATTTTATGTGTATCAGTGTATTGGCTGCATCTATGTGAGCGCACCCGTGTTGTGCAATGCCGCGGAGGTCAGAAGAGGGCTTCGGATTCCCCTGGAACTGGAGTTAAGGACAGTTCGTAGCTGCCATGTGGGTGCTGGGAATCAAACCCAGGTCCTCTGCAAGAGCAGTCAGTGCTCTTAACTACTGAGCCGTCTCTCCAGCCCCCTCACTCTAATCTTATGAAGTACATTTAAGGTGCCATTTCAGACAACTTTCATGTTAATGTGAAACAGAGTTATATATTATCACCCTAGTCCTACAGACTGGCAATGACAACTCAGCTAAAGTGGCACAGCCACAGTTTATAGAGCTGAGACTGTTTCTGTCTCTCTGAGCTGTAAGCTCATGCATAGTAAACCCTCCTAGTGCTGGCCTGGCTCTGGGATGCTGTGGCCGGGCCTGGGGCTCTGGCCTGTATGCTCTACTCCGGGCCTGTGTTTCTTCCACAGATCAAGTAGCCTGTGCACATCCTGACATCTGCCAGAAGGTCTGTAGCAACCCGTCTGGCTGCTCTGACATCGCATATCCCAAACTTGTGCTGGAACTCCTACCCACAGGTAATGTCCCCTCATCCCACACTGAGTCTCTCGGAATTCTCAGAGAGGAGAACACTAGCTGGGCACTGATCTGAGGTAGGGAAAACATGGGAGGGCTGTAGGCAGGAACAGGGTCTGGGCTCAGAGGCTGAGCCCCACAACCATATATCCCCTGGACAAAAAAAGGCAGGGTCTAGAAGATCCACACGGCCCCGTCTGAGCAAAACCCCATAAATTCTGCTTGCTCAGAGCTAAGCCCATCAGGATCAACTGGCTTTGGGCCTGGGGCAACAGGGTCACAAGCAAAAGCAGAAGCTGTTTTCAGCAAGCCCAAGGCCCATAGATCTCCCTTTTGCCCCCAGGACTCCGTGGGCTCATGATGGCTGTGATGGTGGCGGCTCTCATGTCCTCCCTCACCTCCATCTTTAACAGTTCCAGCACCATCTTCACCATGGACCTCTGGAATCACATCCGGCCAAGAGCATCTGAGAGGGAGCTCATGATCGTGGGCAGGTAAGGTCTTATAAGGTCAGACTGAGCAGTGAAAAATCCAGATATCCAGCAAAGAGAGAACTGAGCTCATGGACAAGCAAAGTCCAGGTGGCAGCATGCCCAAGATGGCTCATCCTCCGCTGATGACAAAGATGAGGAGCATGGTCTGTGGATGAGTATGCCACTTGTTCAAGAGCTGTCCAGTGAATACCTGCTGGGTACCAGGTACTGGATATGGCACCAAAAAGACAGTTCTATTATTGTGGAGCTGGTAGGGGGGAAGAAATCAAGAAGAAAGTCATAGTGTTGTGATGGGGAGTCAGGAGATCTAGAGATTCAGGGGAGGAATAGCCAACCTGGAGTGGGAACTGAGGGACCACAGGAGGTAGCCAGGTAGACAGGAGGGTGTTCTGGAGCTGGGGGAAAGATTTCTATACCAAGAGTTCTGGAAAGTCCTGAAGTCAAGTGGGAAGAACTGAAATAAGTGTCATGGGAAGTTGATGTAAAATACATGCAAATAAGCCTACAGGGCTCGTCACTCAAGATGCACCCAGAGGGCTGCATCCCCTGTGGTTCAGGAAAGCTCTTTGATATGACTCCAGATGAGAGCCCACTAATGAAAACAATGATGCACTGGGTTTCATAAAAATGTAAACATTTCCACTTGAAAAATACCATTAAGGCTTGGCTGCAGAGATGGCCTAATGGTTAAGAGCACGTACTCTTTTCCAGAGGGCCCGGTCTGGCTCCCAGCACTCACATGATAGCTAATAACAGGCTGTAACTCCAGCTGCAGACAATGCCTTCTGGCTTCTGTGAGCTCCAGGTACACACATTTGCATTTACATGCTTGCAGGCAAAACAACAATACACATAAAATTAAAATAAACTCTTTTTTCAAACTTTTACAAAAACTTTATTGAGAATTTCATACATGCATATAAGGTGTTTTGATCAAATCCATACCCACACCCTCCCCTCCAACACCTTCCGTATCTCCCCATCACTTTTTTCTTTTTCTTTTCTTTTTCCTTCTTTCATTTATTTATTTTTATGGGGCATTTGGCTACTCTAACATTCTCCCCTCTGAAGAGGTAACCCTAAAATCTTTTAAGGATTAGATACAAGCTCCCAAATACCTTTGACATTTTTGGCCTTGGAACAGAGTATGTTGCTAAGAGACCCAAGGACATTTTGACTTTTAGCCAAGACACTGGCTACTTTTCTTTGGGGTCTTTTTACACTAACTGCCTAGACAATTCCTACCTCCTGTTCTTATCACACCATCCTCTGAAGGGGTTACCCAAATTGCCAATAGGGGATCAGGACACAGACCACTCTGGCTTCTGCCATGCTGAACAGGGATGCAGGGTGAGGCAATTGGAGTATCCCTTCAGTGGGTCTATCTAAAAGACTTCCAAACTATAACTCTTATCTGTAGGGGGCAAAGAAAGTCCTTGATTGGTGAATAGGAGATGTGAAGGAGAAATAAAGGCAAGAGTAATTAGCATTACAAGTTCCAGACAGGGAACTAGAAAAAAGTCAG